ACGACATACTTCAGCATTTTCTATCAACACATCGCTAGATACTGGAATTACTAACAATTACACGAAGGTTATTCATTCAAATGCAAAAAAACTGTGGGAATATTTGTAATGAGCAATTACATCTTCAGACCATATCAAATGATCAAAGCATACACATTTCAGAAGTAGAACATTTAAGAAGTTTTCAGAGAAAGACCCCCACCTCAGCACTTGGTGATCCAAGCAGTATGTCAATGATGAAATCGGCAACACAAGGCAAATTGTAAAAAGATCCTAGAACAGAAGAGTACCAGGCCATCTTTTTTTAAAATAATAATTTTAAATAAGTCAGTTATGGTCTTGCATTAAAATACCATAGGACCTAGAGGACATTGCCCCTGTCAACACCAAAAAGCAGTAATGGCAGTTTGCATATCTCCCCATCTCCTTCCCTTACCAGAGACTGGCACCACTTTATAACAGCATTTTCCTTTGCCTTCCACCACCACCAATGTTTACACTTCCTGTACAGAAAGATTCAAGTACTAAACACTAGCTATGCAAACAGCAGCACTTACAGAATTACATACTTCAAATCCAGTGCAAATATTTATATACTGGCAGTAAGTCAGCTTTCCCAAAACATTTCACTAAAGCACAGCACTACATGCCTTGTTTCATGCCACCTGTTCTTCAGTCCTGGAAAAAAATCCCCATATTTTTTAATGAAATTTTGTGTTTTTAACTTGAGCTGTCTGAGCTTACAAAGCCAGAAGTTTCCTCACTATTTTTTTGTACTTGTCTGTCTCCAAAAGCCTCCCCTCACCTTACTTATATCCCAAATATTTTGAATTCCAAGTCTATTTCATACCTAGTTGCTGACTGCGTAGCTGAAGGCAGGTTACTAAGAGAGACAAGGCTTCCCCAGCAATCAGAGCATCTTTGGTGGATACAGACTGCTGTCTCACACAGATACCAGCATGAAGCGCAGCTGGCTCTCCTTCACTTCCTGAACTGCAATTACTTCCTGCATTAAGAAAAAAACAAGTGCTGTAATCCATTACATTTTTCAGATGTTTTCAGCTTCTGGTCAGTTCTCTGCAATTTAAAAAACTTCTCCAAATGCCACATGAATGTACAGCATTTTGCTCAGATTTGTGTAATTCAATCATATAATATCCTGAGTTGGAAAGGACCCAAGAGGATCGAGTCCAACTCCAATGAATTCAGCTTCAAGCTTCAAAAGTGTTCAATTAAGAATAAAGCAAACACTTTCTTCAGATTAGAGGCACAGTTAACCTACCTGAGCTGCTAAGTCTGTTTCGAATCCCAGCAGGAAATAAAGTGTTGCTCTCTTTTATTGGTTGACTACTTCCCACGAGGTCCAGCCGTCCTGCAGCAGCAGCCCAAGAGAGTCGCATGAAGCAAGCCACTGTGGAAGTGAAATCATTCACCTCCATAGTCTGAAGGAACAAGAAACAGCAGTTACTTCCATGATATTCAACAGCCTTTGTTAATAATAGGGATAAGAGGGATGTATCTTCTGGATCATGTCAAATTGACATTTGGATTTGTCTTCCTCTCTCTTTTCTAAGCAGGCTCAAGGATACAAGAGTCTTCTTGTTCCCAAGGAGAGATTACTACTGCTCTCTTAATAGAAGTAGTTTGGTTTTAAGTTCTCCACTAGGGTAAATACCCTTTTCACCTCTCTGGAGTTCAGCATGCTGATTTCAATCACATTGATCCATTTGGGAAGCACTGCCCAAGAACCTAACATAGCATACTCATTACATTAACAATGAAGTTTCTTTCTACTGGACTCAACTTTCAAATGGGTCAAGTTCTTGTCAGATTAGATTGTTTCAGTAAATAGTCAGTCTCAGATTAATTACACTGACATGCTTATAAAGGGGGAAATAGCATTTTCGTAAATTATTGAAAATAAAAATTTCCTTTTTCCCCAGGGTACCATCAAGCAAATTTATTTGAAACAAAAAACTTGCCCAAAATTTCTAATTCGAAGAAGCATGGACTATGAGCCACAAGTTCAAGCAGGAACCTCCTCCTTTCTATTCACAGAAAATTTAACAAGAGTAAGATCTTAAGAGTTAAGCATGACTGAAAATAAATCACAAGCAAGATTTCTGTGTAGATATACTTCTGGCAAGCACTTTTGGGGTACTGCTTCCCTTTGTACTGCCAAAATGATTTCTGAGACTATGTTAAAATTCAGATCAAGATCAGGAAGAGAGACTGATGGTCAGAATTTTCAGACGCTTTTAAATGGAGAACCTGTATAAAAGGTAGACTTTTGATTAAAAATCCAGGAGTTATACAGCTGTCACTGGAGATGACACTGCTGCATCACCATAAATCACCAAACTCTTACTTGTATGGCAACTCTTGCTGCTGGTATGATTTCTTCCACCCTAATGGAGGATCTATCAGACACAGAGAGCTGTCGGTAGGATGATTTCTCAGGTGTTCCACAAATGGACATCTGCCTACTTGCTTGTCGGCTGACATTACGGAAGGGGCGTGAGGACAATGCTTCTACCCCATCTTTAATGAAATCTTCATCCAGTAAGGTAGGCATTGTCTGGCCAACAAGCAAGAACCTACATTCACAAAGCAAAAACGTCATACTTATTTTTGAGTGTTTACAGCAAGTGAATGAAACAGAACTCAAAGTACCAATTAATCTCACAATATTACAAGCTGCACTCTAAAAGCCAAGAAAGCAGGACATTCTCTAATGAAAGGCAATTACATACCTTGCAAGTTGCAGGCAGATGGAATAGACTCCCTGTCTTGTTTCATAGTCTACTTCTGATGGGATGGAATCTCTCTGCATCACATTCACCACCAAACTTAAAAACAAATCAATAAGACAGATTCCATTTGAAAGTGTTTTACATTAGGAGAGAGCTGCAATTAATTTATCTCTGTCCTTCCCTCCTCCTATTGAGTCAGCTGAGTGCCAGTTAAAACTGCCAAACTGCAGTCTTTGGAGACTAACAACCCCATTTCCCCCTTTTAGATCTACAGATGGAAGCTTTCTGTTCCTGCTGGAAAATGCTTTAGGATCCATGGGGCAGGGGGGTGGACAGAAGTAGTGAGAGCAACATATACTTGATGAATCTGACAGAAGCACAAGCAGTATTGCCAGATCTTCCAAACCACTCACACTGTGCCTCAACTCTTACCTGAAGTGTCTAAGTTTTGGAGACTGTAAAATTTAATTTGGTTCCCACTGCACAATCTATGCTTTGACTGCTTAAAATGTCCACTGGTATCTATGCAGGACATAGTGTAATGTTGCAAATCTGAAGCAAAACACTTAAATACTAACTATCCAAATATCAACTACCTTAGTAAAAGCTACAATTCACAAGCTTACCTGTGGTTAATTTATTTTGGGGTTTAATAACATGTATTCTGTTACATTAATATGGTAGCTACAGTAGCTTTTCAGGAACTGGATAATGAAAACACAGCTTTGGATGGATTTTTTCGCTGAAAAAGAAGCTGACAGGTGTACTAGCGTGTTACAGTGTGGAAATCAGAAACCACGCAGAACTGCTAACTAAATGAAGTGTTATAAATTGAGTCAAGATTTTGAAATCTAACCTCAAACCTCCTGCTCTGAGGAAGTTTTCACAGAAAGACTTGGCACAGTTTCTTGCCATTTCATCATCTGCAGTTGGCATCAGCTTGGAACTCAGTACCTAAAATAAATGAATAAATTAGCATGCATACAACCCCCCTGCTTAGTATTCTTTATCTGCTGAAGGTTAAAAGTATAACAGAAAAAAATGCACTACAAATGAAGCAATTAACAATACACTTATGCAAAGCTGCAGTCAGTAAAGAGAAATCATATTTAAAAAATTCAGGACAACTGTGGCTATTACAGATATTTATTCTGTATCAAAAGGCATTTTTTTTTTCTCATTGCAGTTTACTTGTTAAGGGAAAGGATAAAGTACATACTCTAGCACATGAAATATCTTCAGGCTCAGTTGGTGCTCCTTAAGAGCCCAAATTCTTCTCCTTTCTAGATTTTCAGTTGACAGTATCCCATACAACACCCTACAGATGGCTTACTTATTGATTTGTGCCTTCTGAAACATAACCCTATTGCTGCTATTGGTTTTTTTTCTGTAAAAGATGGTCCAGTTAATTCTATGGGCCTTATGAACATCACCACTGTATCATCCCTCCTGTTTTAAAGTCAGCACTAAACTTCACAGAATGCAATTATGCTCAGAAACATGGCCATAAGGAAGTCTGTGGTCTCTGTGGGTCAGATCTCACATATATTTATAATCAGTTTCACTTCATTTTACACCAAGAAAAAACAACACAACACCCAAACAAACAACCCTCCCCAGCCCCTCCCAAAACCCCAGACCCCCCCAAAACTTTCCTGACAAGTCTCTTTGGCATGTACAGCCAACAATGCTGCATGTGGGAAAACAAAATACATCTTTTCCAGGTTCACAGGTCAGAAGAATGGTTTACAGAGTTCCAGGCATCAAATCTTATCACAACACGGCATGATATAACCGTGAACATCTGCAACATTTAATTTTCATCTCTTTCACATTCTCTGTAAATTTCCTGTGCACTTTTTTTCAGAAAGCAGTTCAGACTGGTTCCCATATTTTCAACAGATCACCAGTTGAGGGGATAAAAAAGCACATCATCCTTCTCCTGACAGAAATCTTCCTCCCATTGGCTTGACTGGACTTGAGGAACAAGTCTACTCATATAATGTACACATCTAATCCAATTTACTACTTCTCATCCCTTGCCAGAAAAGCAAACACAATTTATTACTTGCTTTTATTTTTTTCTCTGGCGTAAAAGCAGCAGATAACTGTCCTGTAATACTGTAATATAACCTGCCAGTTCAACAAGATACCCTTGCTGTGATATGCTAAACCATTTGCTTTCAGTTGTAGAACTTGTCAACATATTTCAAAGGCATCATCAAGTATCTTTCATTCCAGCTGTACAGAAAAGGGGGGGATCCTAATGCTGCAGTGTGATGACAGCGTAGGAAGACGAAGAACTAACATTAGACTGCAGAAACACAAAGGAAAGCAACTACAAGAAAATTCCTACAGTAATCTTAGCGCATACTGGGAATGAAAGAGAATAACTTTGTCCACCGTTTTTGAAGCTGTTGGCAACCAGTCCTGCAACTTCAAGCTTTTTAAACCATATTTGCAATTAGTCCTTATAAACACTGAGACCTGCGAGTAGGACTAGAAACTGTCCAGCTTCCTCAAGTGTGCAGATTAGTGTCCTAACAATGACACCAGCTGAACTCCCTTAGACTCGTTAAAATCTGTGCACTGAACATTTGGAAAGAACCTTTTTACAGGGTCCAATCCAGTGTTTTAGCTAAAGAACTTAGGAGAATACTTAGGGGTAAAAAAAACTGTATGTATTCTACTCATTTTATGTGCACAGCTAAAACAGGCCAGAAGCTTCTGGGTAGAAGTCCTGCACATTTGGATAGTAAAAATTATTCACAGTTGAATGCTTCTCAAAGATATTCCTCCTTAGCCTCTACAGACAGAATATGGTACACTTATATAGAAGGGAAGTTAGCACTCTTTTTCTTTCAAATTGAAACAAGCAAAACCAATCAAACTAAACAGCAGCTCCCATTAAAAGAGCAAACTTTTTTTTTTAATCTATACTAAAAATCACATACGCAGAGTTTCTGGAGATTCAAGCAGGAATTTTACTTAAACAGTAAGGACTTTGATGTTTCTTTGCTCCTTCCCCACTTCAGAATATTCCTTCCACCTTGCAAATCACAAGAAGAGGGGTCTGACTTCACCGTAAGGTCTCTAAAGGGGAACCTTTTACCCCTTTTGTTCAGTGTAGAATTTCTCACATATATAATAGCAGAGTATAAGATGACATTTGCATTTTACATAATGACCCTGTCATGGTGGGCTCCTGCCCAAGAAGCTTGTCACTACTTAAACCTTAGTGCTCAGAACACAAGTAGAAAGAAGTAAATTTGTTTTCTTACCTCTAAATTGTAGAGTACTCTGAAGGTGGACATGCCTGGAGCAAAAGATCGGAAAAGACTTTCTAGTATTGAACTTGCACTGGGCTGATGTTGGTGTTTTGAAGACAAGGATGGTGATTTTGAAGACTGAGAACTTGGTTCCGATAGCAGTGTTTTCTAGGAGGAATAAGCCACAGAAGAAATATTTTGAGAGTACTGCATGTTGTTGTAATTGGCAATGCATTTCCTATAATCCCTGTAATAGCCCTCTCATCTCCAGCTGTTTGGAAATGACTCAATAATCCTTAATATGAGCATTATTTTGCAGTAGAGTTTCAAACCCCTCACAGATTATAATCTGACAGGGAGTTTAAGAAACGTGGTAGTAAATCCTTTTTGTTAGGCTCGGCAAGATTAGTTATTGTTTAATCCTTACCTTCCTTCCCAGGGAATCAAGCTGATCAAGAGCCTCCTGAATAGCTGGGTCAGTGGGAATCAAGAGCAGAAGTTTCCTCACTCGCAGTGTTATCCTGAAAAGTTATCAGAAATTACTCGTGCAAAATAGGGCTCAGCCCACTGTGGCCTGGTGGATGCCTACACACTGCAAAATAAGTAGCTACTCAAACTTTGCAGTGTGAGCACTTCAACATTTAATAACCATTTAGTTTGCTTACCTTGGCTCCTCTAGGTTGGCAAGCTGATAAAGCATGTCAAACACATTACACACGAGAGCCATGACGACTCCAGGGAGGGATTTCTCCTGAGAATTAAGCAGAAATACAAAGGTCTTTTTCTCCCCTCTCTGTTGCAAGTAATTTAAGACAGCTCTTCACTGAAGCAACTGACCCAGATGCCAACCTGCTCCATAGAAATCCCAGCTACTTTCTAGACTGAGACAACATTTGAATTTTTACATTACCTCATTTCCCTTTTAACAATCAATTTTTGATGTCAACTGTTAGTTAGGGTTGACATACAAAGCAGACCAGGTATGGTCTGAACATGGTATTTGATGCTTCTTAGTTTATTTTCATATTGCAGCTTTATTAACAATGGAAATCTGGAAATCTCTCCCCCTGACAAATATACAATCTCAAAATTAAATCATATGGGTCTTGTTTGTTTAAAAGACCCTGTAGAGATTAATAAACACCAAGCAGGCTACAATAGGTGACAGAATACAGATTAAAAGTCCAATCTGCCTGCATAAAGCAATTGTGTATTTAAATGCCCTGTTTTAATTGCAGCTTGAAAGAAAAAACAGACTACTAAAGATTGGATACTCAAGCTAATGTGAACAGCTTCTGTCTCATCTTACTGTACCCTCTTCCACCCCAGCTGTGTCTCCTCCAAATATCCCCCCTCCAGGAAAAATCTGTGGAAAGGTTTCAGGCTATTACGCTGTACCTGTTCCATTGCATAAGATGAACTAAATACACTGCCACTGTTGCTGGAACTGGTTGAGGAATCTGCAGAGCTCCCTGATGGAGTCCCACTTCCTGATGTTTTTACTGTAAGGACTTGTTCATCAGAGAAGCCCAGCTGGTGGAGTAGTTTCTGATCTTTGTTTACGGTTAGCTGCAATAAAATATTTATAATTTAGTTCTGGAAAAGGGACTCAATTTCATAAAGAATGAGAATTCTTTGTAGTTAACATACCAGGCTGTCATTGGCAAATATCTGTATATTATCCACAGGCGAATTCAACCTCTTTGCTATCTTCCACCTGACGCTCCCTACAGTTTCATTGCTATGAGCCTGTAAAATTAAATGACACTGGTTCAGTAAGTCTGCTCAAGCAGTAAATTCCAAGAGGGAAAAAAAAAAAAAATCTTACATTAATGTCTTCCTGCTCCTTTGCATAGGGTGGTAAAGGTATTGTCCACAAAAGAGACTGACAGGGTAGGACAGCAGTAGAAATGCTCCATCACTGACAGTAAGCAAAAAACTTCTTTTCCCACCCCGGAATGATGATCAAAATACAATTAGTCTACAGACACATCCATTACAGTAGCCTTATACACATTTTTAATATTTTCAAAAAGAGTTTTCAAGTTGACTGGAGTCCATAAAACCAGCTTACTCTGTTCAGTCCAGGCATCAAGAAACCCAAGAGTAGCTACGTGATCAACACCGTATGACACACGTAACTTGTGCACACATACCTCTATGGTGAAGGTATATTTGGTAGACTCATATGTAACATTAAGTGTTAAAAGATGTCCATGGAAAGAGGCACCATGAGGTAGAATAGTTCGGGGAACAGAGTAAAGATCCTACAGGAAGAGAAGAATGATGGTAAATACCACCCTTGAAAACAAAGACATTTCTGTGATGGCATGTAACAAAGTTACTAGAGTTGCATAGATTTAAATAACGTCTACTATTTTTTAACAATATTGGAAGTTGTGTTCTTAGCCTTGCCTAGTAAGAAATTACATATCTTACCTCTATTGTTATCACATAACGCTCTGCCAACAGCAGCAGTCTCTCAATTATTACAAGTTTAGTTGACCTAGAAATAAACATTGAAAAAAAGAGTAACTTGCCTTGGAGATTAATTTTCAACTCCCACAGGTAGCTACCATGAATTAGCTGTTTTCAAATATATTTCCTTAAACTTGGGAGTCAATTCACTTGAAATTAACTAGGAAAACAGGCCAAGAAGCTTGCATTATACTGCTTGAGATGTAGCCAGCTTCAGAAGAGGCTTCATGTTTCTAAAGGTCCCACCCTGTGCTCATATATTTAAGCTACACACATTTAAGTATGCGTAAATTAAGCTACAGGATGAAAAACCATCCTTTTCTCTCCCAATTAAAAAAACCCCCAAAACCAAACCCTGCTGCCCCAGAAATATTACATGACTAATAGGCTAGTAATAGTCTGTGGGGGTTTTTTTGTGGGGTTTTTTTTTTTTTTTTTTTGGTTGGTTGGTTGGTTTTGGGAGGTTGGAGGGCGGGTGTTGGGTTTGGTTTGGTGGGGGCTTTTTTTCTGGTTGGTGGGTTTTTTGGTTTTTTAAAAACCCACATGTTTTTTCAAAGTCTCTTTGGAACTCAAACTGCATTGTAATTGAAATATTCAATTGAGAAACCACCAGAATATACAACTACCTATACTGAGAATTTTAATTAGCGCTCAAAATCATGTGGGAAGCAGCTGGGAGCAAATGTCTACTGTCATATTTACTCTTTTAAAAGGCAGGCCTACCTGTAAGGAGACTGAACTGATGTTGCTACTGTAGGCATAGCAGTTGCTGTAAGCATTTTTGTAGCTCTTGTAACAGCATGTGTTAACGTTGGACCACCAAGTGCAGAGCTGGCTGCCTAGAATACAAACCAGAGTATTAAGTGCTGATTTACACGGATAATTAGTATGTCCTGGAGAGCTAAGAGGACAAGAAATATTTGTGGAAGTGAATTTTTTCTTTAAATAGAATTATCGTAGTCAATTATGCTAATTCTAAGATACAAAACTGAAAAAGTCTGTAGGTAGAAGAAAAATTAAAATTTGTCCTTTACCTCTAATCGTGTGTAGCAATCAGCAATGAATTTCTTGTGCAGTGATACTGAATCCTAAAGGTAAAATGTACAAATTAATTAGAACTTAAACCAAAATCATGGGAATTACTCATAAACTGACAGAACCCAACAAATTACACATTTTAACATGCAGAGTATCAAGGCTCTATGAATGTCAAAGCACTACACTTTCATGTACAAATATATGCCTACCTTTTTCAATCTAGGAGTTAGATTGATATAGCTGTAATTTATTATGAGTTGAATAGCTTCATTGGCAATTTCTTCATCAGGTGACTCCATTGCAATCTTCCAAATGAAATCCATTCCTATTAATTCTAGTTTTTCTACACTCTATGCAAGAAAGAACAACAGTAAAACATGACTGGATTTCTTAAACAATACTGAGTTGAATCACAGGAACAGAACAGTCTTCTATCTGCTGGAAAAGCATCTTTTGACTGAATCTTAAAAATTTTCTTTTCCAACATGCTGCCAAGCTTTGGCACCGTGCAATGTGAAATCAATAGCTGTGGATTTGTATATTTATACTAGAAAAAAAAAATTGTTTACAGGTGGATGAACAAGTTCCAAAGAACACTCTCATTCAAGCTAACTGAAAAATTAAAAACTTTAAAAGCATGGAGAAATCTAACTGGGAATGGAATTTGTTTCATAAAGGTCAACATGGTTAATAACCACATAATAAACCATCACAAAACTTACTACAATACTTGGCAAAAGATTACGTATTTGAAGTTACCTCTCTGTGATAAAGATCTAAAATGCCTATGGAAAACTACTTAACACATAACCATTACTTTAACAAAAACATTGAAGGATCATAGAGTTAAAAATTATTGTAGGTTAGAATTTGAATAGATAAGCCTAAGTTTCCTGTAAAGAAGAAAAATAAAAAAAAAGAGGAATATTTCCCTGCTAGGGAGAAGCAAAAAATGCACACTAGAATTCATGATTATTAATAAAAAAAGTAGTCCACTCATTCCTCCTGCAAAGTTTTAGAAGCTACATACCAGATTCCAGCTACCTGTTGCTGAATTTTAACTGCCGCAATTCTGGAGTTTTAGCTTCAGAATTTAATGATGTTAATGCTAGAAGGATGATCTACAGATTAATAACAAACACGACCATCTCAAACAGCTGCTAAAGAATCCTTGTCTCACCTCCTCCCATCCCCAAGATGCCACAGGTAGTATATAAGAATGAACTTGCCAGAACACTCACCAACTGAGTACCTTGCCTCTTTAGTCGATGGTCACACAGGTTCACATTTTCAAAGAAAGTCTTAAATAAACTAAAACCTGAAAATGAAAAAAGGTGCAAGCTTTTTATTCAGGTCAGGCTAAACTTCTATGCTTTTTTGAAAAAAATGAAGACATCAAATACAGGAGATGACCTTTTCCCTCTACAGCTATTGAAACTCAAAATGACAGAAAAAGACCCCTTTAATACATTAATTTACAGAACTGTTCGCATATTTAATTTGAAGGCTTAGGAAGCAAATTTCTGGTATATATTTCAAAACCAAATCTGTTGACCCAAGCCATTTTCTTACCATTCATAGTGATTTCATACGACTCCAGTTTAAGAATTTTCTCTTTGAAGAGCTGTTGCTGCACATCACTCTCTAGATCATGCTGTCCTTTTGTAAACCACTCAAAGCACATCTGTGAATGAAAGGTAGATGTATTTTTACTGCATTGTCATGGCAAATATTTCAGTTTTATAGAGCATTGGCAAACTGTGTCAGATACTACAGTAACTCATCTTACAGAAGTTTTATCTACAGCAAATGGTTCAAAATCTAATCTCCTAGTAACCTCACATATTATACAGGCTGTATTGCAGCATGAGGGTACTTCATCTTCATAGCCATCTTTTACCCAAATAATGCTGAATGACTCTCTTATGACTCCGCAGACTTGCACATACCCCTTTTCAAACCAGCATCCACAAACCTGCAACTAATCCCCTGGCCAGTGTTCCTCCCTCAGTCAAATTTAATGTTAAAAGAGCATCCTAGTCATAAGTGAACATGTAACAGCAGCTCCATTAACTTACACAAAGCATATAATGCATTACTAGTTTGTGTTTGCTACTTACATTTCACATGTCTCAGCATATACACGTGCTATTCATGATCCATTAAGATTCACTCTGCAACCACAGACACCAACTTATCACGCTTTTCTTACCTCTCGATCTAACTCACAAACGTCCTGGCCAGTTACAAGGCATTCCCAGATCTCCCTGGCACGATTCCAGCCCAAATAAAGGGTGGCTTCTTGCAGAAAAAATGCCAAAAATTTTAGATGTGCCTCCAAATACTGAGAAAGAGGAAACAAAAACTCAGGCTTAAGACTTTTCTTTCTGAAACAAGAACTCTGAGCATTCTTTTCATTTTGTGCAAACTTAGTTGTCACATAACAGTACACTTTGCAAAGCCTGGAAAACAGAAATTGTTTCTGCAGGGAGATTTATTTTTATTTTACACCATTTTTAGTATTACTTCTTTCTGATCACCCTTCTAAAAAGGAACATTGAAGTCCCCTTGGATTTGCTATTACTTTCCTGATATTGATATTATTTGACACTAGTTACTAAGTCACAACTAGCGTGGAAAAAATAATTATCAAAACCGTAGCAACAAACTGTTACAAGCTATCTGTGTGTGTGGCTTCCATGTCCTAACTAGCAAATCTGTTTCAGGTTTCAAGAGCTTCACACCAAATTCAAAGGTATAGTCTCTACAAAGGTAGCTGAACTGAAGCTGGTGGAGAAGCTGGAAGCGGCACAAGCTTAGAGACAGGAGGTCCTGGGGTGGGGAGATCTAGCTCTCGACCAGTTAAAGACTTTGCCAAGAAACTTGTAGATTGTGATGTTCGCCTACCCTTGCTCTATAATATAACAACAAGGCTACAACAAGCCCTAATAGATAAGTGTCAGAACTATAAAAAACCCCCTAGTGTAATTATTCACCAGAGAGAACATACATACCATTGAATTCCAGAAATGAAACATCACCTAATCTTACACAACTTGGTCAGTGATACACTACATCATGTTTTCAAAAACCTAAGGTAGCAAAAAAAAAATAATCAGGGTTTAGTACCTCCCTGTAAGTGTATCGGCCATCCACTAATGTTGCTCCAACAAGCCCTCCTGGACCTGCCACAGATGCAGCCAAACGGTGGCATGATATTAAGCTTCCTGTCACCAGCTTCACTATTTCAAAGTTTTTCTTTAGATCTTGAATAATGCTCTTGGGGAAAAAAAAAAAAGATGTTTTTAAGAAAATACATAAACAGGCATGTGCACACAGCAATCTGCTCTTCTACAGGCATGTGCCTCTTATCGGAAGGAGTAATGTTCCTCCCTCAGTCAGCTGTATCCCTTCCAAGCATCCAAAGCCCCCCGATGTTAGTGTTTTCAGCATGTGCTGAAATACATGTGCTGCAGATTGCAAAGTCCCACACCTCCACTCAGCCACTGTATAACACACGTGACTTGCTGGTATTTTAGTCTGTTTTCCAAGAGCCAATGTCAATTAAATTATAGAACAGCTGGTCTAAACATTAGCCATTGTTCATTTCTTAACAGAGACATGCCTCTTAATTATTCTACAAAAAGCTGAGAATAAAATAAATTAGTCCTGACACAGCAGATTTATACATATATATACACGCACACACAAATGGATGGCACACAATACAGCATATCTACTTGAACAATTTGTTTATGCTACATCACTAAACTGTAATTGTCAAAGTGGTTTTTAGTCTGACCCCCCCCTTTCTAAATTCAAACTTCCATGTTCTACAGAAGCAGAGCCACACAGACACAACAAGGGTTTCAAAAATCATCTCAGCATATATTCTTACCTTGTCTTGTTTTTGGTAAGTTTGCTTAATAAATGAACGTGTGATTTCATGGAGCTGACGTAATGCTGGCACCACCCACACAAATTGAGGATTATTGTGCTGGGACGACTAGTAGTAGAAAAGGTGAAAACAATTACACATGTGTACATGCTCAACAACAGATTAACTTTCCTCTTAGACTCCTAGAAGCCTAACATTTTCTATTAATGCCACTGTTGCAAAACAACGGCTACTAGCTCTGAAGGCTTCAGTTACTTGTTCCTGGTCCCTTTCCAAACACACTCATGGTGCCCTTCACTTTCTACAAGAAGTCCTTTGACACACACATATGCCATTTTGCTATCCTTATTATTAAGCCCAAAGTACCACCTCTTTGCTAGAGAACATGCAAATTAAGTAGACAAAAAGAACTCAGTTGCAGCAGGGAGAGATGATAACCACCACCTTCCTCAATTATGGGAGATGAAGCAGGCCTGTTAGGGCATAAAAGGGCAAATCGAGTCAAATGATGTTACTTATTGCTAAAGCAAGAATAATAGAAGAACAAACCTGAAATACTACTGAGGGTTAAGAGACAAGAAGAAATTTCTGATTGATACTGCAAGGAGCCCTCTGATTGGAAGCAAAGGATACTTAAGCTGCATTTTGAAAGAGATCCTACAAAGAATAACCCTCCTACCTCATTGTTAGAACTGCTCATCACTTTTCTGGGAGGCTTCATTTTCTGTAAAGTTTGACCACACAAACCAGTACTGAGGTTGCTTGTTCAGAGAAGTGATGTCTGGTTTAAATACTGACAACAACCAATACCACCTACACGCTTAGAGAGATTAAAGTAACCTGCCCATAACAGAGCTCTCTGCTGAAGACTCCCTCATGTATTTGAGAATGCTGCCTTAACATTACGTTCCCTCCCAGTTTATGTCTCCATTTCCCCTAATGAAGGGAAATAAGAAAATTATGCATTTTTAAACATCTGCTGTATGGTTACCCCAATCCCTTCCAGCCTACAATGACAGCTTTCCTTTAGTGTTCCCCACTGCAGCACCTCTGTTAAGGCCCTTGCCAGAATCTAATTAAAAAGAATGCAAGAACAGGAAAGGACAAAAGAAGATCTAAAAGAGAAGACTGCAAGTTTTACAGAGATTGAGAACTCAAAGTTTGAAATCCGTATTCATAAACACACACAAAAAAGTGTGATCAATATCAAGCAGCAACAGACCATGCCTCCTAAACAACTAAAATCCTCTACAGATGCTGCATCACAGACAAAACTTAATTTACCATGAAATAAAGGAATGAAAAAAGTACAAGCCTTTTTCTTATTTATGGGTATACTCCAGACTGAAAAAAAGACAGGAGCATTCCTGCAGACCTCACGAAAAACTGCCTGCTATGTGAACAGTGCAGGATAGAGTATATGCAGCCTTTTAAGCCATGCACTTCTCTGCTTCAGGAAACATCTTAGCACAGGCAGCTGCAGGAATGGCTTCTTTATGTTAGATGAAACGAGTTTAACTATTTCATTAAAATACAAAACTACTACGATTTAAATATTGATTTGCATTTTGAGGCTTAATGGCCATGCCAGAACACATGCTTAAAGAAAACTCATCTAGGTTTTCACATGAAAGGGACAGTTAAAATACTCGCATACCTTTACAGTGGTTCCATTTGCAAATTCTAACCTTGGGCCCATCCTGGTAGTTTCCCATAAACTGATCACTCCTTGTGCTGAAAATTTGCTTAAAACAAAGGCAAGAGACTTACTATGAGTCTCATGGTCAACAAACTGGCTCACACAAAGCCTACCCCTCTCATGGACTCCCCAAGGTAAGAACTTACAGATGGGACACGCAATTTCTACATCTTGAAAGAAAGGGCAACATCAAGGCTAGATAACATTTCATTTTGGAAAAGATAAAATAATAAACCAACCCTCTTAATATCCTCTATGCATTTGATGATGTAGTTTCTTTTGATTGCCTCTTTCACTGCATAGGCATCACTGAGGATCGTCAGATGTTCCTCCAAGGCCTGCTGAATAAGACTACACGGTAATGTCGGAAGATGAGCCAGCTCCCAAAGTACCTCCAGAACCTAAAGGAAGAAGTGCAACATTAGTCAGGACCTAGGAAGTACAAAGACTAGTAACCCTACATTTAATAAAGAGGAAAAAAAAACAACCCCAAACAAAAGAAAGATTTTATTTCACATTCACATGCCTTTCCAGTCGTTGTCTCCACCCGTGCTTCTCGACCAATGCGCCCTATCAGGCTCAACAGCTTCTGTCGCACTCTATCACTCTCTGTCTCCCAGCTCTGTGTGGCAAAGAAATAATGTTCACTATTACAGCAGCAAGCACTCTCAGTCTGTTAAGTCTCAAGTGTACACAAAAATACACTTTACAATTGTTTTACTGCAGGAAAATCAAAATACAAACAAGTTAAGTTTCCACCATGCATGTTTCCTTATTTTTGTTACTGGGAGTTACAGTACTAATTTGCCAAACTCATTTTCAAATATAAACTAGAAGAGATTAAATACAATAATAAAATCTCACTTTTTAAGTACTTTAGCACCACCTATATAAAGTACTTAAAATCTAAGTCAATTAGCAGTACCAGTAGCAGATCAGGCTTTTGGGTTAACAAAAAAAAAAAAAAGACAGAAAGATATCAGTGTTATTTTATAGCCAATGTTATATTTATATTTTTATATAGAACACACAAATGTATTCAAGGCATTTGCCTTTCGGTAGGCTGGATGTACATGTATATCTCATCAATTCTCTTCCTAAGGAATGTAAATTCATGTGAAAACTTACCTTTTGGATTAGGACAAATAAATGATTGAGCTGATCAGAGCTAAACTTCACAGCAGCTGCAGCAATAATGGTGTGTATGTTTTCAATCACAGTGGAGGACTGTCCAGACTGAAAACAGGAAGGAAAACACATCAAGGTAGGTCTTTATCCCAAATGAGACAGAGAAAAATCTTCACGTAAGCATTATCCTACTATTCATACTAATGAGAAAGAACAACAGCTTTTGACATGTTAGAAACACAAGGTAAGAATAACTGTCTCTGCTCCTCATTTCACTGGTAGAGGGGTCTTTGGAAGTAATTCTAAAGCAGGAAAGAACAAGTTAGTCTGCCATTATTACAGCAGCTTCAAGATGCTGCCATGGCACATACATGGTAAGGTGTGGTGCCAGCAACACAAACATCACCATTTTTATTGCACGTGTGGGGTGCTCCACCTCTGACGCTCTTTAAGGCTTTACTGAAAAGGCAGCAATACGAAATCTCCTCCCACACCGATGGGAGCACCATGGTAACAACAGCCAAAAGCGGGGAGGAAGTATTGCATTTTATTAAAGAATAAAAGTGAAACGAGCTAGAATCATACTTCAGCTCCACTGAGCATGCAAGACTTGCTACCATGCCCGCACATACTGCGGATCTGACAGCGTCCAATGAGTTTAGTCTAAAACTTCAACATTTGGACAGAGAAGAAAACCATTTCCTGCAGTGGAAGATTACATTCCTGGTCAAAATTTCCACGTCATTTGCATTAAGCAGTCAAACCACTTTTCCTACACAGTGATAAGCTGAATACACATAAAGTGAATGTGAAAAGATGACTTGTCAGTCAATTATATGTATGTACAGAAAGTTAAATGGGAATTCATACAGTTTGAGCCCACTCTCTTTAAAGTCACACTGTGAGCTGCATTCAAATTTATACCTCCAGCCATGAAAATTAATATCCTTAGGCAAGGTCTTTGGTCTAGACAAACTCTATCATCTATTTCGGGCTGACAACCTCTTATTCCAAGTCAAATATTTTTGCAGCCCCTTAACACTTGTTGCAAAGAACTGAACTTCATCATAAGATTTAACAGCTGTGTTACAAGAAATTGGCAGAACACTTGATTTTAAATGGTAAGGGAAGAAGCAGAAGAAAGCCTTTGCATTAATTATATTGTTAAAATCTCAACACCTCCAATCCCACCACTAGAATGTCTGCTTTTGTAAGACAGTCTAAAAGCACCTGCCTACTCTTGGTTGCTTACCTGAATTCTCCAAATTTTAGTGAGCTCATCTAAAGATAATTTACTGCCCAGCAGTTCAATAATTCCCTTTATACGATCACAGTATTGCGCTTGGTCTATATTACCTATGAAACAAAGAAAGGCAACTAAATAAATATATTTAAAACAGTATTAAATACCTTAAATGCATAAGAAAAAACAAGTTCTTTTAAAAGGGAGAACAAACTTATCTTCATTTGAAAATTCTTTCTTTACTGTTACAGACAAATCTATGAGCTCAAAGAAAAAGAAAAGGCTCCTTCCATTTTTATTTTGTTTTACTTCATACATCTGATAGCAGTTCACACCTATAGGGCCTTACTACTTGGAAAAAAACCCCAAACCTCTTTTCTCTCTTTTTTAGGGGCTAACAATATACAAAGATAAATGGAGAGTAAAAAACCCAGGTAGAGCAGAAGACACCTGCACAGATGTCAGAGGACCAGATGATAGTAGCAGGATTTGCAGCATTTTCTGTACTCTATTTTGAAGATGACAAAAACCTTGAACTCCTTTGTTAATAGTGTTCCATTAAAATCTATTGAAAGGGACAGACAAAATTTTTAAATTTAAGACATTCAAAGCACATGCCAAAAGTCTTTGTGAAAGTGCTTACCTTCTAGAGCAATTGACAGGACAGAATTTTCCACTAGCCAATTTAGTAATCTGTCTGTATCTATTGCATTCTTCACTGACTTGGATACGGTGCTGTCTTCTATTAATTTCGTTACCTAGAAATTGCAAAATGCAAGATTCTAACAATGATTCCCACGTGCATTATACATGCACACAATGAAATCTATTCAAAAGGCTTACTGCGAAGCTTAAGTGTGAATCCTAAAATATTTTGAGCACAGAAGGTGTTTGGGGTTTTTTTTGTTGTTTTGTTTTTTGTTTTTGTTTTTTAATAAGCTGTTTAAAGGCAAATTCTTAACCAGGAACACCTCCTTGTCATCAGTCTCTGATGCAGTAGATTCTTATCCAGTGTGACACAGAAAAGCTGGCCTGTGCTGCCAGGTGTATTTCTACAGGTATACCAGAAGTAGGTTATCTCAGGCTTCTGCTTGTTACACTCAAATCGGTGTCCTATTTTTCATCCAATACAGAACTGATACAGGCTCCTCACTCTAGGGAGAAAGAGTACATTTCTGCTAAAGCCTTCAAAAGCTGCACTTTTGTAAGTTCACCAAGGATACATGGCATTTATGATTAAGAACCAAACAGCAATGAGGTTTAACATCTCAATTTTCCCATAAATAAAGAAGCAAAAAGCACAAAAGAGGGACTCTAAAACACCTTACAACGTCTGCATACTAAAGAAATGCCTTTTTTGGGGACACTTAAATTGTACAAGTTCTGGAAGGAAGAGATGAATGAACAACTCTGTACTTAAACCACAACTCCCATAAAAAAAAGCCAAACTGTCTTCTTCTTCTACTTAGTTATCAAATTCTAGCACAAAGAGCCCTGGTCCATACACTCCAGCTGCTAGCTGCTACTTAGAGTGTCCACATACAATCATAATAAAAAAAATACAATTACATAGCGTAATGATCTGATAGAACTGGACTGAGACACCAATCTAACATTAAGTCCCATTTGGTTTTTTTCCCCTTTTTCTCTCAATGACAGGAGGAGAAAAAAGGGATACCCCATAGGATGCTCTGAATTATCAGGGTTATCTCAGAGTGAGTATTCCACGAATAGCATAGCATAGACAGACTTATACATCAGCCTGAAATTGTGGTTCTTAGAAAAGGTTCAGACTCTGTCTAGTTGTTTTCTAATTGGGAGGCCACGGTCCTTGCAGTGGCTACTCATATTACAAACAACTCTTGTGATATTAACTTGTTTTGGTATTTATTATGAACTGAGCTTTTGCTAAGGCAACATAATTTGTTGAGAAATACTGCACCATCTCTTTAAGGCTGTGGTTTCATTGACTTACTAACAACCCATCTGACCTACACACATGTACTCACACAAAAAGCAAACCTACTTCTTTGAGGGAATTCATCTTTGCACTGAAGTGAGGAGATTTTAACATGCGCAACAGAATGTCCAGCCGTAAGTCATCTACCACAGTTACCAAATCAGGTTGGAAGCGCATACACAGCAGTTTGATACCAGACAAGAGCTCAGGTATACTGACCAGTCTCTGTTTAAAACAAAAAAGAGGTCAAATAGAAGCATTGCTATTTTTGCTATTCCGTTTCAGACTTCAATGATTCACAAAGAGTAGGTTTAGTGACCCAATACAGACTGTTTAATCTATGAAATGCAGTACCATGTACATCTTAAAGTATCACTTGTACGCTAAAAATTCTAAGACAACAAAACCTGTGGTTAAAGTGGGCTCTCCTGCTGCAGATTTGGTACACTAAATTGCTCCTCTGTAGTTATACAACCTATGCATCCTTTCCGGTTTACAATTAACAATTTAAATAAAGTCAACACTTGAAAATTTAATAGAACCAAATGCCAAATTCAGGGTAACACAGGAAGTAGTCACAAGTTACATGGACATTTTATCAACAATTACCAAATTCTCAGAAGAAAACAGCTAATGCAACAGTTGTATGCACACAAGTTACAAGAATTTAACAGACTGCAAGATAGTAAGCATCTTCAAGTCAGTCAGAGAAGTGAGCATTCCATATACTTCAGAAGGCAACCAACAAAACCATATTTAATAGCAACAGCAGAAAAACATTTTAAAAAGGGTCATGACATCAGATATCTACTGAAAAGGATATTGAATGGAATTGGGTAAATGTATTTTGTTCTATGTCATTTAGTCAGAATTCAGAACAGGCTGTCTTGTTGCCAGTGAAAATAAAGCTATTGTTCTAGTCTACATTGCCAGCAGTTCCAAGACACACAGTTAAGTTCTTCCTACATATTTAATATACAAAGCATTACCTTGTCTTTCAAGTCCTTCTCTTCTACATTCTGTACATATTTAATCATTTTATGAATGATTGGATCCAGCATGGGCTAGAGAATGTGAGAAAAGGCATGACAATCATTTTATGTTTCCTGAAATCAATTACATTACTCATAAGATCTGGCTGCAGCAAAGCAAAATACATAGCTGAAAGCTCACAATTATCTTAGACATAAAGCAACACCTACAAGATACGTAAGACTATCCTACTAGGTACGTCCAGAAAAAGAAGAAATCGGAGCAAGAAGCCATTTCAGACCACCACAATACAGACTTAAAAAAAAAAAACAAAAACCAACCAGAAACAGATCTTTCAAAATGCATCAGTTATTAGATGCATGTGCCTCTCTGACTCCCAGTGGCTTCTAAACTACCTCTTCTTCAAATAACGACTTTCAGTCACTTATTAAATTGATTGTTTTTGTTAGTGAGTATAACTGTGAAGCCTGGGGTATATTTGCATATACAAATATATCATGGCAATTTTTTTTTCCTGTACCACAGTTTTTTTCCAGTGTAAACTCTCATATCCATATGCTTGATCTCAGTCAGAAAGTTAAATTTAAAAATCCACCCATCAAGCCAGATTCTTTTCCCTCACGCTTTACACTGATGAAGCTTATTAATGGCAGTGGCAAAGTTTCTCACTGTTGCAGATGTAGATAAGTGATTACAGATAACTGTGCTTAGAAAATTAATCTGATCATTGTCTGAGCACTCAGGATGCTCAAAATGATTCTTGTACTTTATGCAAAGTGAGTTTTGAAGGCTTTTCAAATTAGTCACCAGTTTCACACCAATACAGTTGTAAACTAATTTTCAGTCCTCTGTTTTTTTCAAAATTCCTACAATTAAAAAAACAGGTTCTCATGTAGTTGTCTTTCTGATACCATACTGCCCAAGATCTACTTTAACACAGAGAGCTCCACCTAAATTTGAGCAAACTACTACAATCACATTTCAAGGCTTTACTATTTGCTGAAAAGACCTCATAACAAAGGCATTTTACCTGTACTACAGAAGAGTTAAGATATTCTGCACAAACTCCAAATGGTTGAACTAATGCAGAGATTGCCTGAAAGAAATACAGCAAGTATTTAGGTGTACATAAGAGATCTTTTCAGAGCTAGTGATCTATACCTTAAAAGGCAAATGAAGGTAAGTATTATTTATCTCATATGATAATTTCCAGTCATTTGCTACAAATTGATTTTGGTGTGCAACTCCTTTACAACACATGGTTCAGGAAAGAGATTTACTCTATGGCATACAGTATGTCATATATTTTTGCCTGAAATAAAAAATGCCTTCCCAGTTTTCACTAATCCTGGTCCTCTCATCATTCTGTTCAGTCTTCTCTGTCTAGTCCTGTTTCAGTCACAGCAGTACACAGACGGAAAGGGACACATTACATTTTGGTTGCTTTCTACAGAAAAGAGAAGCGTGAATGCAAGACTTAAGATTAACACGTTAAGTGGGAGAAAGCTTTTGTAAACATGTCGTATACATGTCAAGATCTCTTCAACGCATGATTTTATTCTTATTTACTTCATATCCATACTATATACCTATACTACCCAAACTGTATTTGGGATTATATACCCAAACTATTCTATGATTTTTAAGTGATATCTATCATCAAGAAATTAAACATATAAAGACATTTGTTTGCTAATAAAAAATATCAAAATTGGTTTCTTCTCACACTGGATCAAGAATTGTGAAATTGAGTGTGCACCACTGCAATCAAAGGCCTAAGTTACATGATGCTGAACCACACTTCCTTCCTAAGCAAGCCGTTATTAGTCATTAAACAAAGTCAAAGTTTCTATTGCAGTATCAGTATTTAAATTGAGTTTCCTTATTCTTCTGTCATGCTTATATATGAACCTATCTCTTTATAAAGTAGCAAATATCAATACCCCAAGAAAAGAAGTTGAATTCTCTCCAAATGGCATTTCACTCAAAGCAGGCTGATTTTATGCTGAGGGACAAGATTCTAAATGATGTGGTCTTCCCTTAGCCTCCTTGTTCTTCAAAGCTAGAAAGATTATGAAGTCTCCTGAATATAGGTTAGGAAGCTAAAACTGAACAACTCAGGCTTTGTCACCAAACCCAGTTTAGAACTGTTGAACCAGTCAGTTTTTAGACATAGCTCTTGAAACGTTGCTTAGGATTAGACAGTGTCTGTCTTCCTAAAGTTGTTTTTTTTTTTTTTTTCCTTAAACAATGATTTCTATAAAAAATGACAGAGGTCAATTCACTTGCAGCTAAATGCAGCTACAGCTGAAGTAAACAGAAAACCAGGGACATACTTATGAATTTACAGTGAAACTAGACTGAATGATGTCTAACGGAAAGGCTGAATGTTACCCAGAAAGGTACACTAACCCCTCCTCTTTTCTGTGATGTCTGAAAAACTCTTCAGTCAGGATTCTTATGCACAACCTCATTTGACCTCCAGTCTGACAGCACTTCTCCAGGGCTCTGTGGGAATGTTGCTCCAGTACTAAAGCAAAGGTAAGAGCACTACCAAAAGGGATGCTACTGGTTCTACATGAAGTGTGTAATGGAAATGGAGAAGTCTCATGACAGAAGATGAACTTACCCCAAGCTCAATATCTTCTGAATTGAGTTTGGACTGAATTGCTAAAAATCCATCCAACTCTGCAAACTGAAATAAAATAATCAGTATTATGTTAGTGAAATATGGTATTTTATCTTTTAAATAAGCTATTATAGAAAATACTCCACTGAGAGTTCCTGGGATGCCAACAAGTATCCTTTACCATGGAACATCACGTTCAACATAAGCTTTATTGTTTCCATGGGAATTCAGGGGCACACTGGGGAATGCAATTATACCTGGTACCAGTTTAAACATCAAGCTAGAAACTCTGTCTTAGATAAAAATGGATACAGGGAAGAAAGCTAGACCACATATAGCAACAGCTGACTGGCCTAGCACATTTAACAGGGAAACAGCACTGCAGCCTAAGCTGAGCTTTTGACTTCCTCTAGTCATAGCTATCATGTCAGGGTAAAGGTGCTCAAGGGAGAAGGCAGCAACTCAACAAGATTTATTTAGCAAGGCCCCTGCCCTACACATAGGCAGGATTAAAATCTTAAACCATTTTTTTCTTTGTGGTTGTCATAAAACTAAAGAGTGGAAAAACAAGTTGGGGGGAAGAAGAAATGATCTCTGAAGCCAAATTAATTCAAGTGACAAATAACAATTCTGCTTGGTTTACATTTACCTACCCTGTTTATCAGATCCACCAGCCACCCATGAGGTTCCTTGAACAATTAAAATATTAACAAATTAGTAGCTGCAACAATCAATGCTGAGCATTTGTCTTCTGAAACAGAGATTTGGACAGACACGTTCAGCCCATTAACCCACACCCCAAATGCATGCACTATTATTTCAAAGAAAATAGCAATGTGTTTGTAACAGCTCCTTTAGTAAGCATGTAGCTGGAGCTCTGTGAGGTTCTCATTAGCATCATCCTTTTTTGGACTCCGCTTGACATCACTGACCATGTGCTGTGGCAACAGTACGCACTGTGGCTGCTGAGTCACAAGCAACTATATTTATAGCACATTAGGAGCACTGAACACTACTAAAGAACCTTTCCCAAAGCAGCAGATGCAGACTTTTCTTTCTACTGCCACAAACTTGTTTTCTGAAGGAGAGGTGAACACGACTAAGGCTCCTTTTTCAGACCCACCCATCTGGAACAACTGTGACAAGACAGTGCAAACCTCAAAAACTGCCTCCTTGCCAGTGTGTCTGACTTGAAAATGTCCTACCCTTGGCTGTCAGAAAAGCATGAATTCTCTGCTACAACTGTACACTTTGAGTTATCCTGGTCATTTCACACTCAACAGCCAAACAGATGTCAGTCCTTAGATACAACAGATCTACCCGTCTGATTGTTGTGATGCTTCAGACATGAAAGTACACCAGTTTCTAAATCCAGCCTCTAACAGAGAACTGGGACAATCTCAAAGGACAAATTCATTTCTACAGACCAACATCTACTGAAGATCTATTTGCTGTAATTCTTGGTGACACATTTAAGCTTTCTTCTGTTGTAAATACCTACTAATCAAACAATCTTTTCTGAAACAAACACATCTACCCTAAAAATAGGTTTTAGGGCATGGCCATGCTCACCTTTTGAAAAGTGGATATGGGCGAGACAGCATGCATGTTCCCCTCCCTGAAGACTTCTGCCCAGTTTCTCTGGCATACCTTCATTCGATTCTTGAAATGATACTCATTGTCAGGGTTAAAAGCCTTGAAAGAAAAACCCATGGCAATGAACAGCATGGCTTACGCCAGTCTCAAAACTTATCTTGATAGTGTCTGACTTTTTCAGTTGAGTATTCTCCTGGTTGACAGTTAAAGATCTAGCAAAAAAATAAAGTTTAACAGAAGACCCCTGCCCCTGCCCCTCAGTTCTCACTGTATAAAGCATTCTGAAGCTTCCAATCTGCATAGACAATACGCAATACCCATGTGAGCCAGATATCTGTAAAAAGGGGGAGATGAACTCAAAGTACCAGTTTTAAAAAACACAGTGAAGTGACAGCAGGTGCGGTTTGGTTTTTGGTTTTTTTTTTGAGAGCACTTGTTTTCAAAAGTTTTGAACAGCACTCACCCCTTTATGAACTGCATATTGGACGTTAAAAATCTGCAGCAAGCAATGCCTGCAGATTGTGAGACAATACAGTACAACTTAAATATAGTTAGAAAAAGCAGCAGCAGCCTAAATATGAAATGCCAAATACCCAAATATTAGAAACTGCAAAGAGTCAAATACCATTGTAAGTACACTGAGCAGGCCCACAGGAATAGGATCTTGTTTTACTCTTTCTGCAACTAGGTCCACTAGCAGCATAAGCATGTTGTATATTCCTTCATGGATTTCAGTTCCCCATTTGTGAACAGCACTGGATGTCAACAGCTACAAAAGAAAAAAAAAAATTAAGTTTGAGCCCAATCACAAAACAGGAGAAATTTATCAACCCCAAGACTGTTTTCAGAGCAAATGTTTCCTTAGAGTGTACTGAACACTATCTGGTGTGTTTTTCAGGTGCTCTTTCTACACCAATGCCTTAAGAATTAATTAAATTTGTAATTTTGTTGAACACCTCAAATCACAGTTTATGACAGAAAATAAAATGTAGCAAAGCAAACTGTTTTCCATTTCCATGCACTAGTAAAGACTGCAACCTTTGCAAAGAACAACTAATATGCAAATAATTTGTTTGAAGACTAAAGACACAACTACTAAATCTTCAAGTAGGCATGCCACAAAGCTTCACTGATTCAGCCACAATAACCATTTATCGATTCATATTTTTTGAGCAGTTTCTATTGGAAAACAAAGAATATGTACCATGAAGAGAGAGGTATTTAATGCTGCTTTCGCGCCTATTGAAACATGCTCTTTAAATCTGATCTAATGGGGTTGTCTATAAAGGATGTTAAGCTTCCATCTGCAAATTTCTGCTAGCTGTGTCTGAACATAAGCAGTTAAAAAGCTGAATACTTTAAATACAATTACTTTTTGTAACATTTAAAGAAACAAGAGAGTTTCTTGCAAATATTTCAGCAAATTGTAATTCAGCACATTCTGAACTTAAATTTCTACAGATTATCTTTGTGGAGAAGCAATCTACACTGTTTATTTAATATGCAAAAAATACCAAGTGATTTAAAAGCATTATATGTAAAGCTATTACTCTAATAGCCAAATGAAAACAAAAATCCCTTAAATATACTTATATTCTCTGTATTTTAAGATTAGGACTAAGTAACTTTTTAAAAGGTATATATAAGTTTTTATACACATGGTCTAAAAACTGGGCAAGAAATTTAGGCAGTATCCAAAATGAATAGAATAGTGGGAAGTAAACTGGTTTGGGAAGCTCTGTAGAGAAAATTCACGATAACCCAGAGAAGAACAGCCAGAGGGGCACAAGTGTTCAAAAAATGGGTAGATGTGGTACTTTGGGATTTGGGATGTGGTTTAGTGGGCATGGTGGTGTTGGGTTGATGATTGGACTGATGATCTTGGAGGTCCTTTCCAATCTTAATGATTCCTAGTTTTTACTTTCATTATAAATAATCCAGCCACCAAGCCAGGAAGCATGCAATTGCTACTCTACCCTTAATTGGTTTAGTGGTGAACTTGGTAATGTTAGGTTAATGGTTGGACTGGATGATCTCAAAGGTCTCTTCCAACCTAAACGATTCTATGATTAGGCGTTAAGCACTGAGGGGAAAGACAAATTCTAAACAGATCATGCAAAGAGATAAGAAAGAATTTAGCAACCCGCCAAAGAAGGAGCAGAAAGAATAGAGTTAAAGGAAATCTGATTCTGAACTTGCAATTAATGGCTGTATCCAAGGGTCTTTAAACCTGTCTTTATGCTCCACTAATTACTACAGAGCTCTTCATTTAAGAAAAAAAAAAAAAAAAAAAAAAAAAAAGAGTGGGGGGGAGAGGAGGGGGGAAAAAAAAAGCTATGTGCCAGAATTGGGACTTTGTATGATTTTAATGTAAGTCTATGTATGATTTTAATCTAGGAAAACAGCCTGACTATGACTTTAATCTAAGAATATACTCACTAGTTACCATAGTTTCTGAAGTCTGGGTTACAAGACACTATTTCCACCATGAACAATGCAAAGAAACACTGAATTGGTCTACCAGACCTACTTACCTTTTTAAATGCTTCAGGCATACATCTGTCCATAAATCTCTTGCAATTCTCATCAGAATCAGAAAGACCTTTACAGAAAGGAGAGTGCTTTTTAAAATTATTTAAAAAAAAGAAAAAACCAACAACTTTTTAAGATTACCTCAGGGAGCTCATTGCAAGTTTTTGGGAACACCAACAAAAACCAGCAGTAATAAACATGCTACTGTTCATTCATAACTAGTACGCTTTTTCAGCCACAAAAAAACGTGTGAGTCAAGAGAACTTGCCTTGTAGAAATAAGAAGTTTCCCAATGTTCCATCTTTTACAACTTCCTCAAGCATTATTAGCACCATAAGTATTTCTCCCTTCAAAGTTTGTAACTTATACTGACTTCAGATCATTTCTGATGCTTCACAGCCTCCAACCAAAACGAAATCTAAGTACACCCTCTTAACACAGGTTAGAAGTAAAGAAGCAAACCAGAACCACCTAACACTTCCATTCTTCCAACAGATTATAACCTCCTCTTAGTCTGCCATCAGGCATGACGGAAAAACTATCTTGCACTCTTGTTATATACCAGTTGTTGGGCATGATGCCTCCATAACACTTGTAACCCCAGCCAAAGTACTGAATACAGAAAAGTCAAATTCAGGTCTAATGCAGTATAAGCATTTCACTAGGGAAAAACAACTAGTTATACAAGCATGGTACCGCATGGATTTAGATGACAGCTTGTTTTTACTAATGGAAAATAACCAGCACAACGAAAAAAAGAGTCAGTAATTCAGCTCTGAAAAACAGTAAGTCCTACAATCATCAGAACATAAAGAAACATGTGCTCCACTTTTTAAAAAGCTTAAGTAAGCAAATTACTTTAGAGAGAAAAAAAGAGACCAACATTCTTTTTACAGCATTGGGTAGAATAGTTCACTGTTAACACTTTCACAGAGATGTGATCAGGGTGCTAAATAAACAACTGCAAGACTAATATGAAAGACGTAACTGCCTACCATACTGTCTATGAAATCCTTTAAACAGATAATCTTTATATGTGTAGAAAGCAAACTTACCTAGTCTTGCCAGGCAGGTGGATGCAATTAGGCACTTGCCTAGAGACTCTTCCCGCTTATAGGGTATGGACCAGTGATCTGTTAAAACTCTGCTCTCCAGTTCATACAAGTTAGTTGTTGGAAACTCAATACCTTCACCAGAGCAATTCCCATTTTCATCATTTTTCTGTGAATAAAAAGGAAGTTCAAGTGAAACAATGTTTTTCTTTCTCTCTCCTAGACACTTTAAGGATTTAGTAGCTTCAGAAAAAGTGGCTGTGCTTATAAGCATGTCAAATTCTTAACAACCCTGAGGCTGCTCGTATTTTTCAAAGTAGAATTTAGTATTTCAATTTGAAGTGAAGGGATTACATACCTTTATGTATTTCATGTAGGTGATAACTACTATGTTTACATGACTAATTGCTAACTAATTGCCTATTTAAGTGGCAAATCTTGTTCCTTAGCATATCAGATCCTAGAGTCAGGTGGTAAGTACTTCCAGTCCCTGTGAGACTGCAGAGTACAAACCCTGATCTTCATAGATCTGCATATTAATCCTCTGTTCAACAACTGCTGTAGAATATGGAATAGTTTATTCTAACAGAGGCCAATTTAATCACTTTCTCACCTCATCACATTAAGAAATAAAAAAGACTAATCCAGTACATCAGGATTTTTTTTTTTTACCAGCTAATTATCCAAAGCAAAAATTACATCTCAAATATAGTTGTCCAACAAGGAAACTACAATTGCCCTTGTCCTGAAGTCAAAATTAGTTACTGGAATATGTTCTGGAAGGCAAACAGGGAAAAAGCAAGCAGATGTCTGCAGCTTGGCTTCACAGGTTTCCTTGCTAGTACCACTAAACAGCAGCTATTTCTGTGTACAGACAGAACACAGAATTAGCCCCATGTTCTTTGCTAAGTGCCATATAAGGTAACTGCCTCAACAGTGCCAAATGAAAGAGTAGACAAGTTATCCATTTATTTTCTTTTGTTTATTTTTTAACCTCGCACAGACGCTAGCTACCCAATGTGTCAAAGAGTTCGCATTGACTAACTTTCCCAGCCTTCACAAGGAGAAAGGACGGAATGTCTGGATCAGGCCTGGCAGCAACCAGGAGCAACTGTCAGAGACAGAGGAAAACACAAGTGCAGCGACAGTAACAAGATCCCCCTGAGAGAGAAGCCAGGGACATGTAGGGAGGAAGGACAAGCAGGAAACACGCTCAAGAGTAAAAAAAGGACAAA